AAATTTTGTATATTATTTTATATATATATAAAGGAGAGGGAGAGTGTTTTGATAAAATTTTAAAAACAAAGTTATGGGAATTGAATTGCACATCTATCTAGAGAGAGAGATATTGTTATGATAAAATTTATAAAACAGATTTAATGAATTTTTAATTACAGTTATTTTTGAAGCGACAAACTCAGTTAAGTAATCCTAAAAAATGGAGGATGAATACGAGAAGGCAATATTAGGGTAATTTTGTATTTGGAAATTCATATTATTTTAATGGACATGTTAGTGCGACCATTTGACTGTCATATTAATTTGTCTTTTTGTGCCACGTACATTCTACCTAACAAATAGATCTAATCTTTCTGCCTGAATATCGCGATTGATATATATATATATATATATATATATATATATATATATATATATATATATATATATATATATATATATATAATGAGAGTACTGATCTCTTGCTCCATTAGATTAAATCTAATGTCACCTTCTAAACCCACCTATATGATTTCCTTTTAATACAAAACCACTATCACTATTTCTAGTTTCCAAATTTAATATTTATCAGTACCATTGATTATAACAATAAAAGGTAAGTACAAAAAAAAAAAAAAATAGATATCTCTTCACTTCTCGAGATTCCGTCTTACAACTAATCAAAATTTTGTTTTCTTAAAAAAAGAAATTATAAGTGTTAAAGAATTGCATCCATGACTTGATACTAAAGTTGATATTGCCTATTTGTTTGAATGTGAAAAAGAAATTAAAAAGTGCACTTTTGATATGCAAAACATCGACTAAAAAATAATGAAAAATTAAAAATATAATCTCTATTTTTTTATCCACTTGATTAACTTAAGGTAATCCGTGATTTGCACAACACTTCACAAATTGTTTCATTTTTTTTGTTAATTTTGTTTTATTTTATTCCAAATTCTAACTAGTTGTAAACACATTTCAATTGCTCATATGTTATAATAAGTCACACAAAATCTTTTTTCTAGTTCTACTATAATAACAAAAATTTATTGACATAATGAAGAGATTCACGACAAAAATTCTTTTATTTTATGAAATTTTAGATTTCCCTTGTAAATTAGTTGTTTTTCTTAATGTTTTCTTTAATACTCCTATTATTATATTATCAAAGACATCAAAGAAAACAAAAATTCCAATTAGTGGTAGTAAGACGTTCCAGAGGTAAAACGATTTCTATTTTTATTTGTTTGGTACCTACCTTTTATTATTGTAATTAATGGTATTGATAAATTTTAAATTTAGAAATTAGAAATTGTGATAGTAGTTTTATGTCAAAAGAAAAGTATATAGGTGGGTTTGAAATTTGACAGTTAGATTTAATCTAATGGTCAAAACCTAATGGTCACTATATAAAGTATGGAAGAATTTTCTTACTCCATGGGGAGTAAGGGATCACTACTCTATATAAAACTAATTCCAATCGATTCACACTAAGCTTCATTAAATTTTAATGAGTAATGATAGGCAATGCGAAAAGAAAAAAAAAAACCCAAAAACTCCCAGAATCTAATTTGACTAAGCCATATTAGAATTTAAAAAGAAAGAGTCTCCTTTTACGTGGTATAAAATAAAATAAAAATAAAAATAAAAAAGGAACAAAAAAACATGGTGCTTTCTCTTTCTCCTAGAAAAAGAAAACTAAAAACTCTCCAAAATTGGATATATACAACACTTCTCCTCAAACGTCACCTTACCCCTACTCTCAAACGTCACCTTAATATAAATTATAGATTAAAAATTCCTTAATATAAATTTTAAAACAATAAATATGTGGTTTTATATTTGTATAGTTTATGAATTTTTACTTAGTAAATTTAAATTTACAAAAAACTGGAACAAGTAATTTCGGTTTGTAATTATTTTCTTTTCTCTCTCTATCCAATTTTGGAGAGTTTTTAGTTTCGTGTTTACGAGGGGAAAGAGAAAACACCCTGTTGTTGTTGTTGTTTTTTTTTTTTTTTTCATTTTCATTTATACTATGTAAGAGATGACTCTTTCTTTTTTAATTCTAACGTGACTTAGCCAAATCAAATTCGGAACTTTTGGCGTTTTCTCTTTCGTGTTACCTATCATTATTTAATCTAATAAAAAACCAGAGAGAAAACATTAATGAATTAAAGGAGTTAGAATTGTAAAGAAGTCCCAGAATTGTAAAATAGTCCTATTTAGGAAAGATTTAAAAAGAATTTGATTAAGTCATGTCTTTATATGAAGGGCAATTATGGTATTAAAATATAAGAACTAAATTTAGTGTGATGTAGGAATTCTTTTGTAATTTCATTTTAAGAGATAAAATGCAACCGATTGAATTTTGTTGAGTGCTATTTACAACCTCTACTCTCTTACCTAATTTTAAACATACTCACAAATGTTCTTCAGTCACATGCCTGATTTAAATGACGTTCTCAACCAGTCCAAATATAAGATGCACTTATTGTTCCGCTTTAAACTTCAAGACTCAAAATAAATAAAAATTATAATTACATTACAAAATCTATATCTCACATTGTGATCCTTGAATCAATTGTAAGTGCATTTTTTTTTGTGCAACTCTTCCAGCACCAATGGGGACGGCCGGACGGGTCTAATATAGTTAATGAGCCATAAATCTGCAAATTCATGAAGCTTTTTAGAAGGTTGTTTTCTAAGCCTCTTGGGAGGCCCAGTTCGACCTGGGTCCATGGATGCTCTGGCCAGATCTGCAACCTGCTACTGCCTGGAATTGGAACAGTAGGTCAGCTCTAACCTCATAATATGCATTTTAATATAATTAAATTCATTCATGTAAAGTAAAAGTCCAACCTATTGGACATGGAAATACAACTCTTGGGTTTTTCTGTATGTGCGAAAATTTAGATTTTGGTGACTTTTTAATTTCATGTTCTTACGGGAACTCTTAGAAAAGTACTTATACAATTTTAAAACAACTTTTCATAAATTTTGAGAATTCTTTAGTCTATATAAACTCTATTTTTCTCTTGATTAATAAACAACTTTTTATAGATTTTGAGGACTCTTTAGTACACAGAAACACTCTTTCTCTCTTGATTAATTAGGGTTTAAAATAGGAAAATATTTTTGCTATTATTTATTTATGAAAAAATCCTTTTGAATTTTTTTTTTACAAAAAACTCCCTTCAACTATCTTGGCGGAGTATTTTAACTTAGCCCCCTTAAAGTAATCTCTTGAAGGAATTTTTTGAACAAAATTACCCTTATATCAAAACATATACACAGATCCTGCGCAGTCACCAAGCAGCACAAAACAAACCCCATGCCTCGGAACCCAATGCGCATACAGTCTCGTCGCGTCCTACTGCAAACTCCATTCCATCCATTTTGTTTCCAGTTCTCCTCAAAAACCATGGTTGATTTAATTGAACAATTATACAATGTATTTGTTTTTCTGTTAACAATTATTAAGAAATTTTTTGTGAATGGCGTCATCGGAGAGTTTGGCGACTATGGAGCCCTGTCTGGGCGTTTCGCTCAACACTTCTGGACTTGTGGATCTCGCAAATGTTCATCGGAGAAAACAAAACCCTAACCAAAGCCCTCCAGAAATCGCTCTCAACCAACCGGAGACGATTACGCCAAAAAAGCCGATGACCGGGACTGTCACGGAGGTGGAAACGGCGGGTTTGAAACTCCTAGACACGATTCATCTCATGATGAAGAGGACCGAGCGGAAGTCACGTGCGTTAAAGAGGATGACGACCACTTTTATAGCGGCGGATCTGGCAAATTTCCGGCTAATGTCGAAGCAGGTGACCGACGTGAATTCAAGAATGGACAAATAAAACAGGCGTGGTCGTACCGCGACGGAGATGATGCCTGCGAAGGAGGCGGCAGGGAGGGTAGTGGTGGTAAGCGGGTGAGTTTGGTGGTGATGGCCGGATCAAGGCGAAGTACGACGGAGCAGGGGTCGGCGACGTCAGTGACGACGTCTTGCATTGTGAGCAGGTTTTTTTTTTCCACAGAGTTGACAATCTAGAGAGGATTGAAAATGGGAAAAGGGAGCTGGAGGCTTCCTGATTGAGATCCAGATTACAGATAGAAAGAGTCAATTTTAAAAAGCAGAGCCTTGATGCCTTCTTTAGAGAGGGCGGGTAGGATACAAGAAGGCTACGTCGCCGGAGAACTCTATGAAACAGGTGGTTAACTTCCTCCTAGGGGTAATTTTGTCCAAAAAAATGACTTCAAGAGATCACTTAAACGGGTTGAGTTAAAATACCCCCCTCAAGATAGCTGAAGGGGTTTCTTGTCAAAAAAAATTCATAAGAGGAATTTCTTGTTAATGGGTAATAGTTAAGAGGGGTTTTTTGTAATTCGTCCTTTATTTATTTAAATCCATATACAAATATATTCATTATTATTTATTCCATTAATGATATATGTAATAAAGAAGTTAATTTTTTTCTAATAGATACGTAATTTATTTGTTTTTTAGTAGTATATTTTCAAACATGTATAATTAATATATATATGGCTGTATAGCAATGTCATACAGTTGGGGCACACGTGAAATTTAAGTAATTAATATATATATTGAGTAATAGTGTAAGTAATAAATGCATATATGATAATATAGGTGTTCCATATCATTGGGACTCTAATAAATTTAGCTGTATAAAGTAAATGAAACGATCCAAACCCGTAGGTCCGGATCATTGACCGGGTCCCTACCTGAACCTGTGTTCAACAAGGGTACAAAGGTCATTTCTCGTGCTCGTGGTTAATATTCAATTTACTACATGGCATAAAACACTTCAAAATCACAGCCCAAGATGAGAGGTTCAAAACACTGGTCAAAGATGGAAGGTCAACCGGCTGATGGCCCTTGGTCGGTCGGCTAACTAAGATGGTTAGTCGGCCAAAACGGTTCTCAAAGTGCAAGCTCTTAGGACTTGTTACAGTGGCTCGTCGGCCAACTGAAATTAGGGTTCGGCCAGCTAATGAAGGAAGGTCGGTCGACTGATGAAGATCTTCAACCGGCTGAAACAAATTTTCTCAAGTCTCAACTCACTGGAATGCTACTAAATGGTTTGTCAGCCGGCTGGTGAGCCCTAGAACACTGCTTTGTGCAACCTGAAAGTTCAAAAATCTCAACCTTATTGTGAGTCAAATCTAGTATTCATTCAATCCCGAATTCACGGCAATAATGCATAATGTTATACAGTTAAAGACATCAATATCATGTATAATTTGTGTTACCATTTCCCATTCATTATAATATGCCTATATGGTTCCAAATTTACATCAAACCATCATTAAGTATTACATTCACATTACATGGCATACTTTACAAAACGTATACATTTTCAAATAGGGCTTTACAAAAGAATGGGTACAAGAGCACAAGAGATGGTAAAAAAAAAAAAAAAAAAAAAAGGGTCGCCGAGTCTTTGAACTAAGTTTGTGGTAAATCATCATCCGCCACTTCTTTCTCGAGTCCTGAAAAAATGTTAAAGTAATAGGGTGAGCTAGACGCTCAGTAGGAAGTGTCTAAGATACACTTTTTATGTCCCCGTGAATCCATACAATGAATAGAGAGTGAAGGGGTGGAATCATGCCAATTTTCGGGAGAATACAACACTAATATCATTAGCAGTAACTCAAGTCATGAATAGAACATGCCATGCTAAAGAATGCAATCCATGAGATGTCTCTCCCCAATTCCCAAAAAAAAAAACAATTCCGTTACGTAATTCCAAACCGTCAATGCAACCTGACCCATAGCACCTCTATGGCGTCACGAGGAGAAAGTTGGCTAGCAATCCCCGATCACATGGCACCTCCATGGTGTCATCTGGGCCTAGGTAGCTCAACTTCCCTTTAGGTTACATAGACACCACGGATCACTAGGCGCCTCCTAGGCGTCCGATTTTCACAACACTTTTCAAAACATTTTTCCCCAAAATCCTTTCATTTGCTTTTAAAACATTTTTCCCTTTTTCCTTTCCCAATGGATGCATGAATGCCTCATACTTCTAATCAATAATTCAACTATAGAACATCACATATGCTTTGCAAGTTAAATTTCCAAAACAAGTAATTCGTGCGTTCCTTCAACATTTAGCATATTAAGTATACAAAGAGTAAATTCCATTTCACATATGCATGCTATTACACAATTTATCAACTAGCACATTGTTACATATTTTCTATACACAACACATGAGCAACTAGTAAGAATTCAAGCTAATTTAGCATGCAAATCAACAATTTGTAGAAATTTAACTCACAAAAGTATAAGAAAACATATATTAGAAACCTGTACCTCTAAATTGATGAAAAGCCCTAAATTCACCTCAAACCCTAGGATTTTGAGATCCCCCAAATAATGGCCAAATGGAGATTGGCTCCGATCAAATTGTAGATCTCGTCGTGCTCTTTAACGTACCGCAAACGGCATCAAAAATCTCTCAAAAATGAGAGAGAAATCATGATTTGAAGCTTTGAAGTAAAAGAAAAGAAAAAAGAAGGGAGGAGATTGAGAGAGAGATGGTGTGCCAAGAGAGAGGAAGAATGAGAGGCCAAAAAGGGTCTCTTGACCTTTAAAGTGGTGGTGGGTCCCACCACCAAAATTTTATTATCAGTTTGATTTATTTTTATTTCCCTTTTTACACCACACACAAATATATATATACAAACCATATAAAACCCACAAAAAATACATCAAGCAAAATACATGTGATGCCAATGGATCCAATTAAAATTCTCATACGCGACAAATTTCGTTAGCGGGTCCCACACGGAACCGTCCGGCCCGAAAGACTGAAAAATTGCAAAAATGACAAACCTTATATTTCAAAGAGTCTTGAACTTAATAAAATGCTCCAACCAACTCTCGAACACTATCGGCACACTCCACAACGCCCGGCACGCAAAATGGTAAAAAGACGAAAATACCCTTACGTAAACGAAAAATTCAAAAAAATAGAAATGACGAAATTCAGAAATATTATAGTAAATTCATACAGAAATCGCGAATTAGGAAAACAAATTCGCGAATTTAAAATTGAATTCGCGGATTTTGTGCGAATTCACTCCCAAATCGCAAATTTACGTGTGGAGCTTGGGAGCGGGGCCTATTTGGACGAATTGTGTGACTTAGGTAACAAAGGTCATTTGTCCCACATCGGATATGGATGAGAAAGTGATTGGGTATAAATGTGTGGATATGCAGCACTACTCAACAACTTGGACTTTTGGGTAAATGGGTAAGCGTCCATTCTTTACATTTAGTATCAGAGCCAAACCAGTCATTGATCCGATATCACGCTAAGCGTCTGAGTGAGCTAGCCTGGGTAGGTAGGGTGGCCCGTGCCGCAAAGAGGGCGTTGCGAGTTCAAGGGGGGGGGGGGGGAGAATATAACAAGGGTCATTTGTCCTACATCAGATTCGGATTGGAAAGTGATGGGGTATAAATAGGTGGGTATGCAGTACTAGCCAACAACTTGAGTTTTTGGGTAAATGGGCAAGTGCCCACCCGTTGCACTTATACACTAGGGTCGAGGGTCAATTAGGATGATATTCTCTATTTGATTGGACTTCAAGCTTATTATAGATCTAGTTGATTCCGTTGCACTATAAAAGGATAGGGTTAGAGTATTTGTGGAATGTTTTTGTTAAGATACATGTAGTTCACCCAAAACCAGAGTTACATCCACATATAAGAGAAGATTCACTATGACCAAGTTCTCCGTGTACTACACGAGATTCCTTCTCACCATTAGTGTTCAACTCCAACCTTCATGAGGCTACATCTCTCTCAAACTCATAACTCTCAACAAAAAAAACTTATATATTTATTTTATATATCTATTTATAGAGCTCTAAACTCAACTCCTTATTGGATAATAATTTTAATTTCTTAGAGTATCTCTAGCAATTTGTTAAAACACTTTTTTTGTATAAAATATACACTACCACATATGATGTATAATTTTTTTTTCTCTAGCCGTCTATTAAGATACATTGTCACGTCACCAATGTGTAAATTTTTTTTTTTTTTTTTTTTTACGCAGTTACATCAACATATTTCCTTTCCCTTCATCTTTCTCATTCTATTAACAAATCAACATCTATCTTTTTCATTCTATTAACAAATGAACCTTATATTAAGTAGGTTTGTAAAAATTATGTGGTGTTCAGACATGACACTAGTTGGTTGTTATTGGATGATATATTTTTATACAAAAGGTATAAAACAATCGCTGGAGGTAAAAATAAATGATTCAAAATTTTTGTGTAAATCTTTTTTCATAAAAATTGAAAGGCCGTTGTCACTGAGATAGAATGATAAAATACATATAAGCAAAACATTTCCTCATTTTATATACATTTTTATATTTTGTTTGACTTGAAGTGTAGTAGTAGTAATCTTTCAATAATCTTGCCATAAAATAAAGTGAATAAAATGGCTGAATGGGCCGGTCTGAATATCTATTTACAATTATTAATTATAGCCAAAAAAGAAATACCTAAAAACTGGGCTCAAAAAAAATCCCCTAGTTACATATGTAACTTGATTGTTTGTTAATGAGATTCAGCCAAACACAGATATTGATTTTGAATTGTTTATTTAATTGATTTTAGCTTATCATGATTCATGAGCATTAAATTGAAGCCATTTTTCTTGCAAACCGATTACACTTATTTTTATTTTTTTTATTTTCCCTTCTTACATTCAACTATTAAAATGAAAAACTTCGAGAAATTCCACTTCTTATACTAGTAATTTGAGAAATGGCACCATAACTTTTTGAATTCTAAAGGAAAATGTTTTATCAAAAAATAAGTGAAACATTCAAAGGAAAAGAAAAGAAACTAATGCCAAGTTAAGATGTGTGGAATCTTTGGGTTCGTTTGGTTAGGTAGAACTAGCAAGAAAAGAAAAGAATCAGAAAAAAAATTAATTTTTTGTGGGAAAATTTTCAGGAAATTGGATTCTCGCAAGTAGCTAATTTTCTTTAAAACGATTCCGGTATAAAACACGCGAAAATTTTTATTTCTCGAGAAAGTTGTTAAATTATATTTTAAATTCCTATTATACCCATAATTATTAGTTGGATAACTTGGGTTTCCTTTATCTTTTTGTCCCTTTTTTATAGACATTTTGTTTCCAAATGTAAATGAAATCGTGAAATTGGAGAGACCTTATTTTTAGCAAATTTTTTTAATCTATTTTTATTGCTTTATTCTTTTTTTTCCCTTTTTTTTTCTTCTATTTTTTTTTTTTTCCCTTCCAAATACGTATATACATATAACATATTATGGTGGATATTTTTTAAGTGTGTTATATTAATTTTCAATATGTGTATATACATATCAACTAGGTTTTATAATTTTGATACTAGAGTTATTATAAATTTTACGAAATATATACGTTTCTTAAAAAGAATAATACAAAATATTTTATAGTTATATAATTTTATTTGAATTCAAAAAGAAAACCCTAATATAAACAAACATATAGTGGAACAATCCTAATCTTATTCGACTTCATCAAAATCCTTACAATTATTATATAAATTGTAAGGTCCAAATCATATATATATATATATTTTTTTTTGAGTAGAGAAATTCCGGTGACTTGGTGTCTCACACAAGTTCAGAATATTATTATCAACAACAAAATTTGATGTATGAATTAATTTTACTTAAATTTATTTATATTTTTAGTATTTAAATTATAAGTACAATTTTGACAAGTACAATCATTTTCTTTTCTCTTTCATTCTATCCAAACTAACAACATAATATTTTCTCACAACTTTCTTGAAAAATTTCCATGTTAACCAAATGCACCATGAAAACTTAATTTTCTTTTCCTTCACTTCACTTTCTTTCACTTTCACTTTTCACCATATATTTCCATCTAACCAAACAGACCCTTAAGGAAAATGTTTTAGAAAAAAATAAGCAAAACATTTCTAATTTAGTTTTAAACTAATTTTTTTTTTTTAATTTTAAGACACCAATTTTATCTAACCGAACATAACGTACCTTCTTTTAAAAAGTAAGAGTTTGATATCTCTAGGTCACTCAATTATTGGTTTTATATTTGTTTCTTCTATAAATAATTCTAGCATATAATACAAAAAAAAAAAAAAAAATGTTTGTATCCATTAGATATCCAATTTGGAATTGTACTTTTGTACTATTTAAGTTGAGGTCTCAGGCTACAATATTCCACTTATTTATCTCCAGAGTCCAGACTCCCCTTCATCAATGAGATTACATGCATTTTTTTATGCTACATAGTACATAATTCATCAATAAGAATGAATAATTCTGCCACTTGATTTAGTTCACCGTCATGTTTACTGTTTCATCCCATAAAATCTTAAATTCAAGTTAAAAAAATTAAAAGAAAAGCCAAATAAAGACGAAGACCCTCTGAGATCATTCCAGAACTGGGCATATTTATATTATTGTAGAGGGCAAAATTATTGTATGTCTGAAATATTTGCAAGAGAGAAATAAATAACGATGGAGTCCCTATCAGAGAATTATGGAGTCCAAGACTCTAAACTGCAAAAAGTTAACCAGTTGCGTAGTCCACTACTACTCGATGTTGGCATTAAAGTGTAGGCAGGCTTCACTGTAATTCAATAGTTCTAGAACAGATTTTACTTCATCTTCGTCTTGTCATTTCATTCGTTTCTTCAACTCCAGCTTTACGTTATAGCAAACTTAATAAGGAGAAAAAATTAGATAAACAAATTGTCATGTTTACTAGCCTTATTTAGTCCGTGCATAAAAAATATATATTTCGAGTGTTACAAATTGAATTGGCCTTGGGTTCATCTGTCAATTGTTTTTGTTTCGTATTTTGTTGTTTCTACAAGTGTACCATAACGAAGTAGAAGTACAAAGTGCGCTTGATAATTTGAATATTATCGAAACGCTTTCGAAAAAAAGGTCAAAATCGAAAACAAAGAAATTGATGCTTCTGACAGTATTCAAGCAAAAAATTGTTCCAAAAAAAAAAAAAAAAAAAACTCTTAAATGACATTTTTAATATTTTTTTGCCAAATATGCTTTTATATTTTTACTTTTAAAAATCTTACAACAAATATACACGTTACCAAATAAACTTACAAATAATATTAAACACACTTGAAATGATTCTGTTTCAAATCTAAGTAAATGCACAAAGCAATTATGGTTGCCAAATACACTCTTAAACTCTTGCAGTTGAGTTTAAATTATGCATGAATTAAACGTCTTTCAATTCAGATTCTAATTATAAAATGTGTTTGTGTGTGTGTAAGATGGCAAGCCACTGTAAACACCAATGAAGGCCATTCGGTATCCATGAGTAATTGGCACCCAAAAGATAGGCCCCACATAAATTTTTTTTTTTTTTTTTTTCAAGCCTCATAAGACCATCTGTACTAGCCTCTCTGGATTTTGCCTCTCTAAAATACCACATCAGCTTTTTCAAGTGCTACGTTAGCAATTTCAAGATCCACATCAGCAGATTTCGTTTTCCAAAAACATGCACTCCATCGTACCCTCCAAATTTTCGCTCTAAAAAAAATAATAATAAATAAATAAATAATTTAGGGGAAGGAAAAAAAAGCTTATTTGTTGTACACATTTAAAATTTGTGGTACACATTTAAAATTAAAAAAAAAAAAAAACTGTGGCTAAACAATATATTTATTATTTAATGAATTTTATTTTATTTTATTTTTTATTTAAAAAAAAATCTCAAAATAACATATTTTTTGTTTTTTTTTTTTAGGCACTGTTTAGCGCACTATTTCAGGAATAATAGAATAAAACAAAACAAGCAACCAAAAAGACGCCGTTTTGCAACAAAAAAAAACAAAAAAAAAATTATTCATTAATTGCGGGCTGATTCGCTGAATACCACGAACCGGCCCACAATTAAGCTCCACTTTTTTAATTAGGATGTTGTGCGCCCAAAAAACTTTGGGCTCGCAGGCGCCTTTACATCCCCCCGCGGCAGGCGCGAGGTCGCATTGGTTATATATTTATTTATTGCCAATACCAGACCAATTGATTGAGCTAGTCACAAATATAATGAGTCACGTTATGCTCTGCTTGTGAGGAAGAGATAAGGAGAGAAGTGAGAAGAAGATGGGTGAAATATCATTTTTCCTTCACAATTTTTTTTTTTAAGAAAGAAACACAATATTATTATAAATATTTTAAATTACTAAATTTTTCTTATAATTATTACTTTTTCTTCCTTTCTCTCTTAACAAACAAAATAAGATATTACCATATTCTATTTTCTTCCATTTAATTAAACAAAAAGAAAAAAAAAATACACAACCTCTTTCTGATTCATTCGTGTCTTTTTCTCTCTCTACCGTCCAGTTTTCTTTCATCCTACTAAACAGAACATAAATGTAGTAAAGCTGATATGACTCTAATTCATAAACGTGGAGAGAGCCAAAATTGGCTCTCCCAGCCGAATGTCCTAATGTGGTGAGTCTGGTGAATAGTGAGGGTTGTAAGGATTTGGGTGAAGTAGGAATTGTAGTGAATGGTGAGGATTTTTAAGGTCGTAGGTGAAGTAGGATTGTAATGAATAGTGAGAGTTTTAAGGTCGTATAGGTGAGACAGGATTTGGGCTAAAGATTTGGTTTTGAATTTTGGATGCTAGGGACTAGATAGATACTTATGATACGTACAGTAAAAATAAATGACCATGTATACACTAGTACAGTGGTAATTGTAGACTTATAGTAACCTCTCTGCCCATCTTTAAATGAGGACCAACCTCCCCAAACTTACTGTTTGCTTTGCTGGTAACAGTAAGACGCAGTCTCGGTTAGCTATACCGCCGTTTCATTTCCATCTTTCCTCCCTCTATCCCTTTCCCTCCTTTCCTTTCCTCTCTCTCTCTTACCTCTATAAGGTTATGGTGGCCACTCTCTAGTCATGCTAGTAGTCCCATCTCCTTCCATATTCTCTCTGCAATAGGAAAAGAAATGGTGAATTATCACTTCCCTTTTTATGTCCAATTTTGAAATTCCTCATCTTTTCTCCACAGGATTCAATTCAATTTAATTTCCTCTGTTTTTTTTTTTTTTTTTTTTTTTTTTTTTTCAGGTAGGTTTGACTTCAATTCCTCAGTGGCTTGAAGTTCTTTTTGGTGAAAAGTTCTTCAACTCGTGTTTGGTTCATGAATCCCAAAAGAAAAATGAAAAGAACACATTTTGTTTGGATTGCTGCACTTGCTTATGCCCCCATTGCTTGCCTCCTCACCAGAATCATCATCTCCTACAGGTTTGTCCACAAAAAACCAATCAACCCATGAACTCAAAACCATAAATTTTAACTATAATTCACTATCTTTCATTGCTCAATATGGTAAATCAACAACCCAAAATTGGCTCTCAGGTTCGAAGGTATGTTTATCAAGACGTCATACGATTGAATGATGCCCAGAAATTGATCGATTGCTCCTTTGTTCAAGTAAGTTGACCCTGAACTTGCCATAAATACACACACACACACACACACTTGTTTTTAATTCATGCTCTGTTCAAACTTGATTTTGTGTTAATTTGTTTAATTAATGCAGTCATACACGACAAACAATTCAAAAGTTGTGTTTTTGCAACAAAGGCCAATCACTCGACAATTCAAAGGCTCTGGCAATCTCTGCATTATGTGTAGCCGAAACCTTCAAGACCCATACCTCTTCTGTTCTCTCTCTTGCAAAGTATATATGTAACCAATTCTCACTATTTTGAATTTTCTCACCATATTTCATATACCCATTTTATTTTTCCTATTTGGGTGTCTCTCTATAGGTGCTCACTCACAATTTTAGGACATTACAGGTTCATCATATGGGTGGTGACAAAGTTGGTGTAATGAAGCAACATTTGTGCAACTTCGAATTGGATGGACCAAGACTCGAAAATGTCCAAATGACCCCTGAATCAGTACTTGAATTGCCCATTTCGCTAGGATTTTCTTCTGGGTCAAGCTCAAACAGTGTTTCTTCACTGAATTGTAGGACTTTTTCTTGCACTGCGACTACTGAGTTTGTGAAGAAGAAACGTAGCTCTATCTCGGCTTGTCGGACTCGGTACCGGCTGAAATGCTCCAAGGCAATGGAATTTGGCGTCTCCCTGAACCGGCGGAAGGGTGTTCCTCACCGGTCTCCGTTGTATTAAGGCTTAATTAGTCTGCAGATTAAGATTTAGTGAGGAACAAGAACAAGAAAAATAGAATGTTTTTGTTTGTTTGGTTATCATGAAAATCAAAAGAATGCAGAAAATATAAGAGCAAGTAACTGGTAAGTTGTGTAGTTGAGGATATGTCTTGTATTATTAGATCCCAATTTTTGTAGTTATTATATGTTTTTAAATAATTACTTAATCTATTCATAATTATCATGAGTACTAATTTATGTTCGGGGTACAGATTTATCCTTTTAAAGGATAGTGCTATACTGCTTACTTGAGATGTTCTCTCATTTGAACAATTTATTTTTATGTGCTAGTTTATTAGCTTGAATGATCTATTTTACTATCTAATTAGGAATGTGGACCATGTTTTTTCTTGTATAGTCATTTTTAGTTTTCTTTAGGTCAGAAAATGTAAATTTTTAAACCGAGTTTTGAGATGGATTATCATATTACAATTTACAAGTGGTTAGATTTATGAACTTTACAATACTGAAATAATAATGCAAATGTGAGTGACATCATGCAAATTAAGGGACTTTCGAACGGGAACTTTGAGGGATTCCAACCATATTATACTATTCATAATACAGAGTTCATGAACACAATAATTAAAGTTATATAATGTAGACCTTAATTATAAAAGAAAAAGTTTATCGTGAAATTGAAAACACTCATTAAACTCGTTCTCATTATAATTTATTTATTTTTAAATAAAAAGATAAAAAAGAAAGAATGAAGGATAGTATAAACCTTTTTCTGCCAATTTTTAGTCATTCTGGCCTTTTAGAAATTTCCCTTAAAAAGAAAGGGATAACATTGGTAGGGAATTTGGGACACGAAGTAGTATGGGTGTGTCAATTATATGCATCACTAAATAGCTAGCAAGTTGGGATAGCTAAAAGAGGGGCAAAAGGGTCCGATACGAAAAGACAGGGTCTGAGGTTGGTCGAGAATTGGGACCCTAAAAATCTGTATATTGCGGGAAGCCGGGAAGAGTATAATTGTATATATGTATGACCCCACTCACACAGTTGAGAGTGACACATGCGTTGCAAATCAAATACATGTCTTCGTTTTTTTGTTTCTTTCCTCATTTTCCCACAGACCTCCTTGCTTCCCTATGCACGCACAATATGAAAAACAACATTTATTTGTATACTGTCTCTTTCCAATGCCTCTCTCTCTCTCTCTCTCTCTCTCTCTCTCTCCAGTCAAATACCAGTGGGTGATGGCTTTTAATGCACCCAACCACTTGACCTAATGGTTCATCTGAAATTTCACCTGATTTGTTTGCTAATCATGCAAATTGAAGTTCACTAATTTGATTGGAAAGAGGGAATGGCTTTTGCTAGATTATGCATTGCCAATAGTTGTGGAGGGTGGAAATTTCGTATTTTTCTAAGACAAAGCTCAAATTGATTTATCAGAGGTATATATATCATGTGTGTTGCCCACGTGTCTTTCGTCATGTCCGGTATGAAACAAAATATTAAAAAAGTAGGACACTTTTATAGAAGTGTCAGACACTTGTCGGAGTCTCATACACGCATAACACAGACACGTGTCCGACACCAATACGACAGCCTATTCCCATGTGTCAGTGCTTCGTAGGTTCTTATACGTTGATATCGAAGGTACCGATTGATTGTCTTGAAAATTATAAATAAATAAATAAATTTCAACAATTTGTTCTAGGTATAAACTAGAATTGATCCCAAATGTTGAGCCTTTGATTACACCAGAGAAGAGCCATTAAATCCATGGATTACATTAATGTGGGAGTTAGGAATTATAAAATTGAAGAGAGAAAAGAATGAAGATAATGGATGTGAAGGGAATTGATGGGTCAACTCACCCAGTAATTGATGGGTCTCTTCTGTTTTAGAGAGAGAGAGAAAGAGGTGAGAGTTTTAGAGAAAGTGGGGTGAAGACGAAGATGATTTAAAGGGTATTATTGTAATTTTATAAAAATAATTTTTAGTTTTAATTTAACATTAAATAGTAAGGTCAAATTTGTCATTTCACAGCCCGGTTAACGAGTCGGATACATATATTGGGGTATTGTGATCAAATTTTATAAAGTTGAGGGTTTTCTGAAACAGGTTGGGGGGTTTATGATCAAAATTTGAAAGTAGTGGGGGGTTTTATGATTTTAGCTCTTTTAATAATGTGTGTGTGTGTGTGTGTGTGTACACTCACAACTAGGATGTTACCCTTGTTGGGCTCTTTTTGATCAGACGGAGTGGAATTGGTGGTGAGCGATGACGTATCGACGGAGAAGTAGCGTGAACCGAGGACTGATTGGGATTCGAAGATTGAGAATCCATAATTGGGTGTGTCGAACGTTGTAGTGAGTGGAGAGAGAAAAATAAAGAATGGAGTACGCCAGTGACGGACCTAGGAATTATTTTGAGGGGGGTATCTTCGAAGAATAAAAAAAAATTGTAGACAAATTTTAAAAAAAAAAATTGTGAAGTGGCCCATTTTAAAAATTGAGTGAGGGTATTTTTGAAATATTAAAAATTAAATGGGGTGATAGACCAGATCCATTCGAAATCCAATCCGATTAGTCGGATATGGATTGAATAAAAAATCTGATAATCCGATTACGACCCGAATCCGATAATCTGTTAGTTTAACAAATCGAATATGGATTACGCCGAGCCGATCGGATCCGATTAAAATTATATATATATGTATGTATGTATGTGTAAAATTATTATCAATACTTCTATTAAAATTGTATTAGAGGTAACTCAAAAATTGTATTAGAGGTAACCCAAAAATCCCAAAATCCCAAAAAAAAAAAAAAAAAAAAAAAAAAAAAATCATAATGTTTTATATACAATAGTGTGGTATTCTCATCCACATACTAATAAATGTCTTAATATACATACTAATAATATCATACTCTTTATCCATTAATAAAGAGTAAATAATTTACAAAGAGTAAATTGTAACCTGGGGTGGGTCCCGAAAGGGCCCTGCCTAGGTGAGTTCCGATGTTAGCAAAAAAAAAATAATAAAATAAAAAGTAAATAATTTACAATTTACTATATATGAATATCATATATATTAGTTATATATTACTAAATTTATATATATTAATTATTTATCATTGCATTCATTTGGTTGCATAATTATATTATGTAGCATTATGTATATTAGCAATTCTCCGCTTCCTCTAACATATATAATTATATATATGTTAGTAAATATGATGTTAATCCAAATTCAAATCCGATTCAATTCGAATTCGAACTAAATAGGATATGGATTGGGACATTCAGTCCGAGAACCCGTTAGTGATCCGAATCTAATAATCCGTTTACTTAACAAATCGGATATAAATGTAATCGATCTAATTCGAATCCGATCCATTGACAAGCCTAAGGGGTAATGGCGGTGGCAAAGGTGGGTTGTGGTGGTGCCGATGGTTGGATGGAGGGGATTGAGAGGTCAGAAAGAGTAGGGGTAGGTGAAATAATTTTGTTTTTTCCTCAAATAAGGGCATTCCAGTCATTTAATGGTTATAATATTTTATATCAAACATATAATATATGGAAGGGTAATGTAGACATTTCACTCTTTTGTAGGCTTTGTTTAGATTCAAAATCTAATAGGGGGTGTCATTATAAAAAAATGACTATTTTTTATCTGACTGTCAATCGGGCAAATCTCAAAGGGTGTAAATGTAATTAACCCTGACAATTCAAATAAAAAAGAAACTATAGGAATGACATTAATAAATTAAATAAGAAATTTACCATGTTACATACTGCTATCTTCTTTTTCTTCTTCTTCATTTTTATTTTTTATGTTGACAAAAAATTCACACTTACTTTTGTCTTTAATGAGTAAGTAATAATAATACTTGAACTGATATTTCCTTAAAAAGATGGAGAAAATATTACTAGATTGCGGTATAACTGCAACTTGGGTTGAGGAATACGAACCCAACCCGAGCCAAGCCCGATTTTTTCCTAGCATGAGCAACTATATTTATAATTAAGTTTAGGCCTGGGTTGAAAAGATTTTAATGCAAATTTAATTAAGTCTGATTTTGGATTAAGGTGCTAGCAACCCAACCTGAATTTCAATATCATTTTCATATATATTTTTTATTTTTAATATATGTAATATTTTAATTATGATCACCTTTTTTTTTCTTTTCAACTTATTTTTTTAAAAATATTAATTTATTGTGTGTTAATGCTGTGGAGAATTACCAATGGCCTAGTGGCCCAACGGTATCAAACTCCTACTTCTTAAAGGGAGGTAAGGGGTCCAAATCTCAGTGGAGGTATGAATGTATGAGTACCGAACTATAAAAAAAAAAAAAGAAAAAAAAAACATGGTATAGAATTAATTTTCTAAAAATTTATTTGTAATTTATTAAAAAAGTGCAATAATGTTTTATAAATTTCTTGTGTTGTAAGAGTAATTTAATCTGAAACATCACAAAAATTTCAAAGTGGACATTAATCATATGGATAACCGAATTAGCCGGACTTTCTAATCTCAATACTCAATCTAAGTTACAAACTCAAGTTTAAAAATAGAATGATGAATTGGACTTGAGTTGATTAATTAAGATTAAAAATTGAATTAAAATTGAGTTAGAATTGAACATTTTATATATGTGATTGAAATTGGACTCTACCTCGAACCAGCCTAGTTGTAATCCTTTACGAAATCCAGTGATGGAAAGAGCTGCTTTCAAAACAGATTACAAGTAACTTGTCAGCATAATAAAAAATAATTCTTAATGCGAAGAGCCTGCTAAAGAAGCAAGGCCATTGGTTTTCTTCTCTATCGTGTGAAATAATGATATGTAGAACGGTGAAATCACAAAGCACCAGTGGTCTAGTGGTAGAATAGTACCCTGCCACGGTACAGACCCGGGTTCGATTCCCGGCTGGTGCATAAATTTTTTTTCCTTGACTTTGTGCAGTGATGATATACAGATAAAAAAACAATGCGTATTTATTTTTTTTCACAGTTAAAAAAATCTATAAATAAAGTCATCAATAGTATCAAATAATTAATTATTGATGAATCACATGAATGCTTAGCCAAAAATGTCTCGTGATAATTCAGTGCAATGGAAGAGGCCCACTAATTTGTACAAACTACGAACCCAA